CCAATTTAAATCTTCGTTTGCAAGCCTACATTTCGCTTTCCCGCTTCTTCATCTAAGTTGAACCGATCAATGTTATTGTACAGGTCAATACCACCGGCAGCTAAATGTCTACCTAACAATGTTGCATGCGTCGTATAAATCAAAGCAACATCGAGCTTCCAGAGCTTTGCATTGATCAGTCCAATACCTCCAAGATAGAATTCTACAAGTTTTTTGCAAACATCTCTAAAATTATTTACTTATGAATGCAATTTATATATCGTAGCTATTATTGACCAGTCAAATGTACTGTACAGTCTGAATCATTTTTTTCCAAAAATAAAGATTTAGCAGCTTATTTCAATTAATCTGTAAATTAATCTTTTAAAATTTCATCAATTTTGATTTCAAAAATAGTGAAATATAAATAATCTTTTAGTATATTTGTTTATGATTGTATTTTTATTGACATACTTTACAATATGCCTGAATTTGGAGTGCATTGAGCATAAATTTATTCTGCATATTTTATGCAATATTTACTGCTTTACTGTCTGTGATTTAAAATAAGTAGTCCTTACGACTTGTAACTTTCATCATTGAACATATACTGCTCCTCCTCTGGACCTGTATTACTGGGCATTGCAATACCGACAAGCTACTTACAGTATTCACACTTATATTATTACTCCTTCTCTGCTCCCAGTACTGTACTAGAGACTAAAGCTACTTTTTTAAAATGATTTTCAAATATTATCCTTGCATATTCTATCTCTCACACATCTTCTCACATGTTATACATTTTTATACTTCAGTTCTCAGACATGATCGCTCACATTATGTCGGCACTCAACATTTTTGCTCTATACGCATCAATATTTACAGTTGTTTATTATCTAAATCGTGTATGTAGACCTTGAAAAAATTTGTTTATTTACGTATTCACGTAAAGTGGAAAAGAAAATTATGATATTAATTAATAAAAAATCATGCTTAAATGTTGAATTTTTGGTGATACTTTATTGAAACAATTAGCTAAATTATAAATTAATAATAGACTATATAGTTTTTAAT